CCCCCCCCCCCCAACCAGCTTGATTGTATTTAATGTACTTCGTTTGTCTCCAGATAGTTGGATTTATCTACGGGTACGTGGCTGAACAGTTCGGGTGGACTGTGTACATAGTTATGGCCGGATTTGCTTTTTCGTGTTTGGTAAGAAGATTGTGGGTATTTGGATGTTAGTGGCAAGTTAAGTTTTCTAAATTGGGTTGGTTTGGTTGGAGCTGGTAGTGAGAACCAGCACCAACTTTTCAAAACCTCCTCTTTTTGCCATCAGTGTTTCACCTTGCTATCTATCATTGGAAAAGTAGAATACCAAGTAAGTGGCAGATAAAGTAAGCTGCATAAAAGGATACAGTTCATTTCTGAACAGCAGCTGCTCCAAGCAGTAATCTTAAGGTCAAAACTAGCAGGAATTTCTTAGGGTCTTCACAATGCGGTCTCCTCACTTTTTAGCTCCTAAAGCCTTATGTGTAAATGGTGAGGCTTGTTTGCAATTCTTAAATATCTTATCTGGGTGGATGAGTTTTCACTGGAATGTCAGTTTTGCTGTTGTTTTTTACCTCTAGAAGCATAGAGGACTTATTTGGGAATATTACACGTAATGCTCTTTTAAACTTTTGATGTTTAATATTGACGGATTTCCTCTGTTCTGGCTCAGTTGACACTTCCTCCATGGCCTATTTATCGCCGGCATCCCCTCAAGTGGTTACCTGTTCAAGATTCAGGCTCCGAAGACAAGAAACCAGGGGAAAGAAAAGTTAAGAGGCATGCTAAAAATAATTAGGGTTTTCATGATTCAGCTTTACTGTTGCACCTGCTTTCGTTTTGTATGAGATGAGCTAAATTGTTTTCGTATCCAAAACATGAGTTGAAACCCATCACTGCTCCTCCAGCACAGCTGTGTATACATTTTGTTGTCTTTATATTTCATTTCTAACTCCGTTGGCTTTTGACTTATAATTATTTTAGACCTTCTCTTCATAATCTTTATCTGAAATGAGAGCAGAAAACACAAGTATGCAAAGTTTCTTTCAGGTCTACAAAAATAATGAATAAATGCCTCATAAAAGTACAATTTGACTGTCAGAGTTTTATAATTCATTATGAGTGGTTAAATCGTTTTAAGGTTTTCAGTTAAAACTCAACACCAGTCTATGTCTAAAGAGTCTTTTGTCCATTGTTGTGCAAGCGAACCTACCAGTAAATGCCAGAGTTAGAAGTTTGTGGTTCTGAAAACATCACTGAGCACCATTTCTATTTTCTGTAGCTGTAAGTTCCTAATACATGTCTTTCTTGACAACAGTAAGTGCCTATGAAAAAATTGAGTGTAAATTTGTGGGATGGTCATAGTTTGGTACCACTAAAATAAGGGTGTTGTTAAGCAGAAAAATTTCAATCCATCCTTTACTTGAGGTGGAGCAAAGTGGAAACCTATAAAAACTAAATTATTTTTAAATTTAACAGAGGACTGAACAGAAAAATATTCTAAAGGTTTTGTGTACAGAATGGAAGTGGGAGAGTTATTGTAGGTAATATTCTATTTCTCAGTACCAGGATACAGGACTTGATAAAATACATGTTTAAAAAATGAGAACAATGACCTTAATAAACAAAAGTCAGGAAAGCTTAAAGAAAAAAAAAAAAGAAAGAAAATTAAGATCACATAAATAAGACTAAGCATATAAATAAGAGTAATTAATGTGATTTAAAAGTTAGGAGCTCCCAAATAGTGTTAAAAATCAAGTTACCTTGGGGTGCCTGGGTGAACGACTCTTGGTTTCAGCTCAGCTCATGATCTCACAGTTCATGGGTTTGAGCCCCAAGTTGGGCTGGCTCCGTGCTGACAGCATGGAGCCTGCTTGGGATTCTCTGCCCCTCCCGCATGCATAGGCTCTCTCCATCTCAAAATAAATAAACTTAAAAAAAATGAAGTTACCTCCTATTTTCCAGATGACACCCAAAGGTTGAAAACTGGGAAAAGGATATCTTAGGTGGATGCAAGCAGAAAGGAGAGGTAATTAGAAAGTCATAGTTAACATCAGAAATGCGGCAAGGGGGGACATCTGGAGCTGCCAAAATGTGCTGTTCTGAATCATTATACATTAAATAAGACATGAAATGTATAAAGAAAGACTTTTACATACGTAAGAGTTTGGCAACGCTACCACTGGGTAGGAGACCAATACTACCTTTCAGATTTTGGTCGATAAGTGGGCATATATTGAAAGGGAAGACTTTTGCACTTGTTCTCTATACTTGGAACATTTCCCCTCAGATACACAGGACTTGTTCTTCATTTTCATTCAAGTCTCTACTCGGATGGGACTATAAAGAAACATCTACTGCCCTGTCAAAATAAAGTGGTATGCCCCATCCTCTATGCACTGATATATCTCACATTACATATTTTTCATTGTTGCCACCCCCCCCTCCACAGAATGTAAGCTCCATGGGAGGGAACAGGGATCTTGTTTGCTCACTGCTGTTTGCCCAGTACTTCTAAGAGTTGGGGAGACATTGTAGGTGCTCAGTAAATAGTTGATGAATGATTCAGAGGTGCATTGCCATTAGTCACCTGGTCTACTTAAGTTTAATTAAAACTAAAATTAAACATGGAGTCCTTCAAACTAGCTACATTTCAAGAGCTCAAAAGCCATATATGACCAGTGGCTCCCTTATCACAGAATACAGATACAGAACATTTCCATCATCACAAAACTACTGATCAGGTCTTCTACAGGTTTGAATAATAGAGAAAGGCAAGTGATTGTGTTTGTGCATAACAATCTTTACTAAATGCCCATTGGACTGTTTCCTCTACTGGCTCATCTACTGAGCCACAAGGAAGAACAATCCCAAGAAGTAAAAGTTAACGCAGGTCATATTCAGTAACCACGCTGCAATGACTCCCGCCCCCCCAGACAGAGAGCATGTGAGTGAGCACCAGCAGGGAAGGGGCAGCAGGAGAGGGAAGGAGAGAATCGTAAGCAGGCTCCACGCTCCGTGCAGAGCCCGATGTGGGGTTCGGTCTCACTACTGACTGAGATCATGAGTCGGATACTTAACCGACTGAGACACCCAGGTGCCCCGAATTTTTTTGGCTTTCTAAATACATGTATCCCCTACTTTCCAAAAGCTCGTTTCACGCCACTTCACTTTTCTGAAAGTCTTACGTTACTGCAGCAATGGCTTTTTTCATAAAAGCAAAAATCCTCTTCAGATTTCTTTCAGCAAAAACAGGTACTACTATAGGTTTTAAGTGTGAAGAACTTTCAGAGAGTGGGAGATACTCTGTTTTTCACCATTTCAGCTTACCAAAGTTTTCATAGGACTGCTTTTTGGGGGTAATGAGAAAATATGTATATGGAAATTAAGGAATATTTCTTAAGGAGAAAACAACAATTACTGGCTATTTACAAACTGTCAAAAGTATATCAAAGTCTGAAATATGGTCAAAGGTATAATGAGAAGAAAATTCATACTGTTAAAGGTGTTTTATATTTAAGAAAGATAAAAAATAATTAAGCACTCAAAAGCCAGAGAGTAACCAAAAGATACTGGGATGAAAACCAAAATGAATGTTTAGACAAAACTATACAGAATGGGAATAATAACATATGGGGGAGAATTTTTTAATTCTAAGAAAATATGTACATTATACAAATTAGAAAACTTAACTAAAACTGATGTCTCTCAAGAAAGATGTATTCATAAAGCATGCAAGAAACAGTGAATAGTTCAGAAAGACCCACCCACAGTTTGCCAAGGATTTGCCTCAGACTGGGACTGGGATGAGATGGTTTTACTGTTGAGTTCTAACAAACCCTTCAAAGTGAAAATAAGAGATCTCAGAAACCAGGCTATGAGCACCTTAAGGACAGGGAGTAAGTGTTTTCCTCACCACCATATCCCCAGCTCCTGCCAGAGCACCTGACACAGAGTAAAAACTAAAAATCTGTTAAGTGGCTAGAAAGGGAACATTTCATTAGAGTATTTTATGTGTGTGTAATTTTCAAAGAAGGTACAATAACACTTTATATTATAAAAGGTGAAAACGTTTCCGGAACAGCATTCATTTTTAAAGTCCCTTTGAATACAAAAGTGAAAATTTACTAATCAAGATTTTTATTTTATAAAAACAACTTATTTCCCACATGGGAATTACTCCTCATTAAACAACTAATAAAATATGTGATATACAGTTATACATTTACAACATGGGAAGACAACCAATAATTTGACAGACAAAAAGACAAACTTCAGGAGGTAAGTATGTCCAACATAACTAAAAGGAGCTGGACTTCACTTACAAATTGCTTAACTGGAAAAGGAATTCGTGTTTTAGAAATGTTTTCACTGATGAAAAGTTACTCTAAAAAAAGCCAGCAGAAACATGGATTTACAAAGCCAAATTATTTCTTAGTTTCAATTCTTGCATATCCTAAATGAGGTTCATATTAAATGAAAATAAAAGGTTTATTAAACATCCATCAATATATAAAAAAGGAACTGCTCAATTACTAGATACTACATACTCTTTATATCTACTCCCAGAATCATGAATTGATTTTCTTAAAAAAATAATTTTTCAACTACTACCTAAGGTTATTAACAATGACAACTTTCATCACTAGACATATTATGTCACTTATTTATCCTATTACTTTTATCACTATAGTGCAATATAAAACTTCCAATCCAATATTTTATGGCCCTTACGTATCAAACTAATTAGTACCTTAGAAAAATAAAATTCTAAATATAAAGTTGGTGGTGTAAGGCTCAGTAAACAGTAACCAAACAAAAGTCTTATAACAGATTTTCCTCATCAAGAGTAAGATTAGCCACAGATTTTTTTCCTTTGTTTTGTGACATTGCTTCATTTTACTCTTCCATCCCATTTTTTCCCCAGTTAAAAAAAAAGATATAAGGATGTTGAATGGCCTACAGCCATTATTATGGGTTTGTTTCTGTTTAAGCCAAAAACCTTTGAAAATAGGTCTTTAGTTCTGGCAGATTAGAATAAATTATCAAAAATTCACATTTTCTTCAAAAAATTTCAACTGGCGAGCTTTCACACTGTAAGTTGTGTATTTTTCACCCATGTGCTCCTGCAAACGTACCTAGTGGAGAAACAAAAAGAAAATCAGTATGTAGTAGAAAAAATATTTTTTGCAATTTTAGAAGAAAGGCTTTTCAAGAAAAAAGGGCTTTTCTTTAAAAAAAAAATTTTTTTTAATGTTTATTTTTGAGAGAGAGAGCGTGAGTGGTGGAGGGGGAGAGAGAGGGAGACACAGAATCAGAAGCTGGCTCCAGGCTCCAAGCTGTCAGCACAGAGCCCAACACGGGCCTTGAACTCACAAACTGAGACCGTGACCTGAGCTGAAGTCAGCGGCCCAACCGACCAAGCCACCCAGGTGTCCCAAGAAGGACTTTTCTAAGCATGATACCAGAGGTGGAAACCACATGGGAAAATGCTATCATTTAAAAAACATTTGAAACTTCAAGATGTCAAAAAATTGTCATGAGATGTTAAAGAACAAACAATACACTGGGGAAAATTTGCAAATACATGCCAAAGAATTAATACCATTAATATAATATAGAGCCCTTGGGGGTGCCTAGGTGGCTCAGTCCGTTAAGCATCTGACTCTTGGTTTCACCTTAGCTCATGATCTCATAGTTTGTGGGATTGAGCCCTGTGTTGAGCTCTGCATTGACAGTGTGGAGCCTGCTTGGAATTCTCTCTCTCCCTCTCTCTCTGTCCCTCTCCCCCACTCTCTCTCAAGAAATCAAACTTTAAACAGCATAGAGTTTCCCTATTTAAAAAAAAAAAATAGAGCTCTTAGAACCAGTAAAACACATAATATTAGAACATTAGAATTAGTAAAACAACAAAACCAATCCCATAGATAATTCAGCAAAGGCATCTACAAATTAATACAAATAGCCAATTAAAACAGAAATTTCAATCTAATAATAAAAAAATACATACAATGTGACACTCAATATATGCCTGGAATTAAAATAACACCTAACAATATGTTAAACAGATGTCACACACCTCCTATCCAGTACACAGAGAAGGACACAATATCACTTTTGTGGTATTCCTGCCAAAAATACAGAATCTGAATCTATTTAACAGGAAACACATCAAATCCAAACGGAGGGTCATTTTATAAAACATGGCCGATACTCTTCAAAAATGTCCTAACTGTCCCAGATTAGATGACACATAACAAATACAATCCCAATTGGTTCCACATCTGGCATGATGGCTTGAGGAGCTCTGAAGACCCCCTCCTCACTGAAACTGGTGAAAATTATTTTCTAAACTAACCATTTAAAGTCTCTGGAAGCGGTCCTGAGGGCATACAGCAAATAAAGACACTTTTTTTTTTTTTTTTTTTCTCAAGAAAATATACTAAAACCCATTAAGAACAGTGAGAGCGGGTGGTATCTAAGCTAAGATCAAAGGCCTCCCTCCCCAGTCCCAGCTGAGTGAGACAAAAACTCTACACCAAACTGTAGCCAACAACACAGGGTTCCCTTTCCATCAGCTCCTAGTCCAAAGGCAATCTTCCTGGGAGGGGCAGGACATCATATCTCATCCTGCCCCTCCACATCTGTGGTTAAGGATACATTTTGAGAGAGTGCAGCCAAGATGTGGGAATTTCCTTTTTATACCAGGTTAGACTTGTAGGATGGAGGCTGTACCTTGGGAGCAAGGCCAATGAAAATACTGGGGCCCCAATCACCTTTGCCCCAGACCATAAAGTGAAAATCCCATGCTCAGGTGAAGCATGCCAAGAAGACCAGCCCACCCCGCCACTGAGCTTCTAAAGTAGGGGTATCACTCACAGACAAGTATGCTATTGTCTTTGCTCCCAGCTGTGTTCAGAGATTTTTCCTGGGGTGAGAAGCAAGACCTAAAACAGCACCAAAACTTTTCCTTAATGGACTGACCTCATTTAGAACAGAGTGGAAAAACTCAAGCCTACAAGTGCTCTCAAAAACTGGAAGTAGTGGTGAATGGCAACTAGGAGGAGACTGGTAGAGTCACTGGGTGTATAGGCTAAACTGTGGGCAGCCTACTTTGATGGAGACAACTATGAAGCTGGGAGGAACCCTCCCCCACCTCCACCCCGCCCCCCACCCTGGGGTCAAAACAAATTTCAAACACTGACCCTGGGAACTATCCCTTCAAAGAATCCCAAATTTTACTGGATCAGTTTGAGGAGCAATGTGTGCCCCAGGACATTGTTGGAAACAGGAGAGCCATCAATTAGCAACTAAAAAACCTTAACACCTAAGGGAAGGACAAGGGAGAGTCAAAAGAGTTCTGCAAAACCCACCATCGTCCCAAGGTGGCTGTGGATACAACTAAGGCCTTGCCAGCTGAGAGGCAACATCAGATTTACATTGTGGAGACATGAAGAAGGGATAAAATAGACTTTACTAAAAAAATTCAGCCAATCACTAAAGAAGCAAATAATAATAGCAACTCTCCTCCCTGGGGAGGCCAGTGCCCAGACTTGTACAATATACTTTCTGAAATGTCCAGTTTTCAATAGACAGTTATAAGACACATACACTGGGGGAAAAAAGAAGGCAAGAGAGGCACTACCTGGGAGAGTAACCAGATACTAGAGTTAACAAGCAAAGATATCATCAGAAACATGTTCACAGAACTAAAGAAAACTATGATTAAAGTAGTTGTAAGAAGAGCTAAGTGGAAATTCTGGAATGGAAAAGTATAATGACAAATGAAAAACCTAAGAGGGGCTCAACAGTTTATTTGAACTGGCAGAAAGAAAAGTAAGCAGGCTGGAGATAGATCAATATGTAATTGATAATCAATATATAATAGCAATATATAATTCACATTATAGATTGATAGATCAATATATAATTCTTTGATTATATAATCAAAGAACAGGGAGAAAAGAAAATGAAGTGAATATCACTTCAGAGAAAAGTGGGACTTCACTCAACACACCAACACATGTATAATGGGACCATCAGAAGGAGAAGAGCGAGAAAGGAGCAGAAAAATTACTTAAAGAAATAATGGCTGAGCAATCCCTATCAAAATAACACCAGCAATCTTCACAGAGCTAGAACAAACAATCCTAAAACTTGTATGGAACCAGAAAAGACCCCAAATAGCCGAAGCCAAATCTTGAAAAAGAAAACCAAAGCTGCAGGCATGACAATCCTGGACTTCAAGCTGTATTACAAAGCTGTAATCATCAAAACACAGTATGGTACTGGCACAAAAACAGACACTCAGATCAATGGGACAGAATAGAGTGTTGTAGGGTCCCTTCCCTCAGGAAAGAAAAAAACCTCAAGGTAACCTGGCTATATGCGTATATGACAACATCCCTCACAATCTTGTAACATGAGACCACTTAATCAGACTACATGTTTGTGTGTTACCATATATGGGAGACAAGGAAGCAAAAAATATATAAAAACCCACAGCATGTGGCATTCGGGGCTCAGTTCTTTGGGAACCCAACTGAGTGGTGCTGGCAGGAATAAAGTTGCTTCCTGGAAAGAAAAGCCTTGGTGTCACGACTCTGTGCGAGAATCCTGCTACATTACTTGGGGGCTTGTCCAGGATTCAGAGACAGTTCATTTCCTCCTCCTTTGCCACCAGGGATATGAACCTCAGAATGCCAGGAGAGGCAGCCTTGCCTGGTGCCAGCAGACCGCTTGATCTGCAGGAGACTAGCCCTCTCAGCATGCCGGGGCGAGGACCCCGTGTGCCCCAATGGAACTTGTGAGGCCCAGACACCAGCTCAGGGAGTGCCACCCGGCAGACTGGTAAGAACCTGGGTTCGTTTTGGCACACCTGCCCCCAAGAGGCAGAAGGGGAGCCTGATCACCTCCCAGAGTTGCCCTAGTAGTTCCACAAGGGGTGAGGAACGAAGCTGCAACTCTAAGGCACTGGGTAGCAGATTGTGGAGTCGCCATGTGACTGTGTGTGGGGACTTGTCTCTCATTCATTTCCTGGATTAATGACTATGATAATTAGAGCCAACCGTCTCTGGTTATTCTACCTCAGAACAGGGACTTTAAGGAATATTCCCAAGCAGCTGCCAAAACTCCTTTTGTTTCAGGGAAATTCCCTGTCTTCTCCAGACTGACACGGACTGCCCAATTCCACTGGTGGAAAACAAAACAAAACAAAACAAAACAAAACAAAACAAAACAAAACAAAACAAAACAAAACAAACCTGGAGTCTGCTCCTCTGTCTGAGCTGACAAGAGTTAAAACTGGGAATTCTCTTTCTCTGCCTTTTGCTGGCACCTCTCCTCTTCTGCCTTCCCTCCCCCACCTTCTTTTCTGTACCACTTTGGGGGTGGCCGGCATAACTGGCTCCTCAATGCCTCAGGCACCATCAGCTCCTCCTCCCACCCTAGAGGTTGTGGAGTGAAGACCACCCACTTCAGATTTCCCCACTGGTGCCCCAGATACAAATAGACAAGGGGGAACAAATTGATTAACTTTTAAATGGACACAGATGGAACACATTTGGTATTTAAATGGATTTAAGTTTTTTGGTTTAAAATAGACATGTCTTTAGAGTTATCAGCATTAAACATATAAAACTGTTTTCTAAAGGTCAAATAAGCTCTTTTATCTCTGTTGCAATTTGTCAGCAAAAAGGTGACTTAAAATGATGGTTAATTTTGTCTGTCTCAAAGCTTTCACGGGTAATTGTTAAGATAGCTTTCAAAGTCTTTGGTAACCTAAAACGTTAAAGTTTGGCTTGCATGATAAATTGAGATTGAATTCATTGGATATCTAAAGAGATAAGAGGCTAAAGCACTAATTACTAGATGTAGGTTTGTGCTTCTGACTTGTTGCAAAGAAACTCCGGACATTTGGATCTATGGGAAAACATGCTTTATCCTTAATGGATTCATAATTTTGCCATCTAAAAACATTCAGATATAACATAAAGTTCACAATTGGTTACTACTTAGTTTTCACTGGAGACTAAGGTTTCTAAGAGGTAAAATTCTACTAAATGTAGTTAAAACTAATAAAAATAAGACAAGCAACTCTGTATGTAGAAAAGTAGGAGATATGAAAGAAAGATATAAG